AACAGACCCTATTTCAATGTTCTTGTTAACAACCTATATCAGCCCTAGTGCAATGTTTCTTGTTAACAACCTATATCAAGACCCAGTGCAATTGTTCTTGTTAACACCAATATCAGACCTAGTGCAATTGTTCTTGTTAAACAAACCTATACAACCTAGTGCAATTGTTCTTGTTAACAACTATATCAGACCTAGGCAATTGTTCTTGTTAACAACCTAAACAGACCTAGTGCAATTGTTCTTGTTAACAACCTATATCAGACCTAGTCAATTGTTCTTGTTAACAACCTATATCAACCCTAGTGCAATTGTTTCTTGTTAAAACCTATATCGACCCTAGGCAATTGTTCTTTGTTAACAACCTATATCGATTTATTGCAATTGTTCTTTTAACAACCCTATATCAGACCTAGTGCAATTGTTTTTGTTAACAACCTATATCAGACCCTAGTGCAATTGTTCTTGTTAACAACCTATAACAGACCCTAGTGAAAATTGTTCTTGTTAACTATACAACCAGTGCAATTTCTTGTTAACAACCTATTCAGCCCCAGTGCAATTGTTCCTTGTTAACAACCATATCAGACCCTAGTGCAATTGTTCTTGTTAGCAACCTATCCCAGACCCTATTTGAAATGTTTCTTGTTAACAACCTATATCAGACCCTAGTGCAATTGTTCTTGTTAACAACCTATACCAAGACCCAGTGCAACTGTTCTTTGTTAACAACCTATATCAGACCCTAGTGCAATTGTTCTTGTTAAAACCTATATCAGCCCCTAGTGCAATTGTTCTTGTTAACAACCTATATCAGACCCTAGGCAATTGTTCTTGTTAAAAACCCCTATATCAGACCCTAGTGCATTGTTTCTTGTAACAACCCCTATATCAGACCCTAGTGCAATTGTTCTTGTTAACAACCTATATCAGACCCTAGTGCAATTGTTCTTGTTAACAACCTATACAGAACCCTATGCAATTGTTCTTGTTAACAACCTATATCAGACCCTAGTGCAATTGCAATTACCATTTTAATTTGTATTTTTTATTATAATTTATACCTAGTTGTACTTTACTCTTCTAGCTAATACATAGACAACACTAAATTCATTTATAGACCTTAGTGCAATTACAAGAGTGAGTTGGTGCCACTTATAATTTTTTTTATAGTATAAGTTTATACCTAGTTGTACTTTAGTCATTCTAGCCAACACATAGACATATCAACTTCATTATGTTTATTAGTGACTATACTCTATATGACAAAGTGCTTTAGCTATTACTGTCCATACCTCCCACCACTACAGAAATCAGTATTAGAACTCACCACATAATACAGGATATAAACAACCACTATTTTAAAACCCAAAAGATTAATGATTCACGTTGACCCTGATCTAAACCTCCATAATCTAAACACAAAATCAAAACTTATTGGAAATAACTGCCTTTATTACACAGCATCACAAGCCAGCACTATCCTGAACACTGCTCAAAGTCTTTTCAGTTCTTAACTACAACATCAGGTCCTTAAGCAAACACTATGAGACCTCCTGGCACTCCTTGAGTCATAAAGACACCCTTCTCCTGCTTATTCTTACTGAGACCTGACTTAAGCAGGACACAATTGATATCTACCCACTACCAGGAACACAGCAATCCACAACTACAGACCATACCAAGTTGGGGGTGGTACTGCAATCTATTACACTAACCAACTATCTTGTATTAGCACTAATTGCTTTAGTGATGAATGTGGGGAATACATTTTTGCTAAAATTTTAAATGTAAAAAAAACCCCAAGACGCCTATAACAATCGGTGGGCCCTATACCGGGAACCCCACACAAACATCCCAAACTTCAGTGAGAATCTAAAGTCACTAATAACAAAAAAGACAAATAAACAAGCACCACATCTCTTAGCTGGAGACTTCAATATCAACCTTGGCCTACCAGATGATCAGGGCTGTAATGATTTCATCAACAATATGAACAACACACTTCTCTACCAAAAATAACTAAACCAACCAGGTGACTGGACAAGTGCAACCATAATAGACCACAATGACCAATGACTAGCCCCCCTTAAATCAGGGATAATCACAGACAGCACTACTGACCACTACCCAACCTTCCCCTTAACAAACATTAGTAAGCCACCACTCGAATACAACAAAGTTCCATTTAGACTACATGACGAGGCCTCAATAAGGAATTTCACAGCAGACCTAGAGGGCTGTTGACTGGCTACAGAATTCTCCAATGCCCAAAGGTATTGACGATTGGACAGAAAATTTTCTTAACAAAATACTTAGACTATACAATAAACATTGTCCTATAAAGAAAGAAAATATCACAATAAACGGCTTGGTTGCCCATGGCTAACCAGCAGCATTCTAAATTCATTGATAAGAAACACCAATATGAAAAGCAATGTAGACAGGGCTTAATGCACAAAGATATTCTTAAACAATATTCAACAGTTTCCCCCAAATTAATAAAGAAAGTCAAACAAACTGTACTACTCCCGCAGATTCACTGACACAAGAGGAGATATAAAAAAGACCTGGAAAAACTTTCCCAGATTTTGGGGACCCACAAACGAAAAAAAAAAAAAAGAATATTGTCTAACTAAACCTCATGAAACACCACTCATCCCACTGATACAGCTAACAAGATAAACGACTTCTTCTCAAACATAGGATCTAATCTCGCCAGTAAAATCCCACGTACCAATGCCCGTGCCGGGATACCTAGATGGGAATTTCCCAAATTCCTTCTATTTTGTACCAACTGAGCCCCTGGAAGTCACCACGATCATAAAGTCACTTAAAAAAAACTCGGGGAATCTTTTCTCACGTCCCACCATTATTGTACAAGCGAGGCGGCCCATGTCCTTTTGCATGTATTACGTTACTTTATAACAAGTCACTAGAAACTAGCACTTTCCCGACACTACTCAAGACAGCAAGGGTTACACCAATAATAAAGGTGGTGACCCTACAGGGGCGTAAACAACTATAGGCCAATATCAAACTTACCATGTATCCAAAATCTTCGAGAAACTCGTGCACAAGGAGACTATATTCATTTATAACGTCACAAAACATACTCAACCCCTGAAAATTTGGATTCAGGAAAAATAAAAGCACTAATGAAGCAATTTATAAAAATGCTAGACCTGCTTTACACAGCATTGGAAATAAGGATATCCGCTATGAATTTTTATTGACCTAAGAAAAGCGTTTGACAAGTAGACCACGGCATCCTACTCCACAAACTTGACCACTATGGTATAAGAGGCCATGCACTTGCATATTTTAAATCCTACCTTTCTAATAGGTATCAATATGTCACCATTAAAGACACAGCCTCATAAATACGGCCACTTTATACTGGATTTTCCCCAGGGGAAATGTCTTTGGACCCCTGCTCTTCCTCATTACATCAATGATCTTCCAAACATATCCCAACACCTGGAAAACCATTCTCTTTGCTGACGACACGACTTATGTCATCTCCCACCTAATTTGCCACCCTCCAACCCCCATTGTTAACGAGGACTGCTCAAAATATCGACCTGGATGACAGCCAATAAACTTACACTTAACACTGGCAAAACCTACTATATTATGTTTGGTAGCACAGCAGGTGTTGCGCAGCTTAACATTAAGATCGACAACACTAATTGCCAGACATAATGAGGGCAAATTCCTTGGCCTATACCTCGACAACAACCTAAATTTCAGCACCCATATCCAACACATAACAAAAAAGTATCCAAAACGGTTGGGATCCTCTCCAAGATACGATACTACGTGCTGCAAACTGCCCTTCTCACACTATACCATTCAATTATATATCCATACCTCACCTATGCTATCTGTGCTTTTGGTTCAACTGAAGCAACACACCTAAAGATAATAATAACCCAACAAAAAGCCGCTGTAAGAATAATCACTAAATCCCATCCCTGGCAACACACCCCCAACTCTTCATAGATCTAAAATTACTCCCTGTCCAGAACATCCACACTTACTACTGTGCAATCTATATCTACAGGACCTTAAATTCCAATATTAACCTTGACCTAAAACGCTTTCTTGATAGTTGTGACAGGATCCACAGGCATAACACCAGACACAAACATCTCCATGACATTCCCCATGTCCGACTAAACCTTTACAAAAATTCAATGTATTTCAAAGGACCTAAAATCTGGAACACCCTACCTGAAAACTCTAGAACTGCAGACACATTCATCACTTTCAAAACTACAGTTAGAAAACATCTTATCTCCCTCATCCACCCCGACAACTAACTACATTATAACCACCTGGTGGTTCACAATTACACTCACTCACCCACTGACTATTTAAACCCAGAAATACTAATCTTAATCTTAAAATAATAAATCCTAACTAGTCATAACTTTGCCTATGATACTCCAATATAGACACTTTGTATTGTGCCAAAACAAAAGCATTCACATTGCTAAACTCACAAATTATGATGTAGTCACTTAGCCGTAATACCATAATCTGTAAGGATTTAATGTTAAGAATTAATCTAAGTCTGCCCTAAATGCCTAGCCATGCTAGGTGTCCTAGTGGCCCCCTCTGTAATTAGTATTTTATAACATGTAAACCACACAATACCCAAAACCTGTAAACCCTATATTGTAACCCTTATAGAGAATAAACTTGAACTGAATTGAATTGAATTGAATTTATTGTTTTGGTAGAGTCCAGCAACCAGTTTTCAGCTTTCTCGGGTTGACAGTCATTTTACGTTTTATTTTTCGGATTCAACACCTTATACCGTAAATTAAGATCGTCCTTTGGATGCAGACTCATTTTTTTCAGGATTCAACGCCTTAATCAGCAACGCATGATCATCCTCTTGACGCAGCCAGGCTCATTTTATGTCTTTTTTTCTGAAGGATTCAGTACTTTATAAAAGAACACATGATCGTCCTGTGAATGCAGACAGACTAACTGTATTTATTTATTTATTTTTTGCAGGATTCAACATCTTATACAGCAACGCATGATCGTCCTGTGGATGCAGCCAGACTTTATATTCCGACTACTTGGGTACGCCCGGGAGCAAGAAGAGCTGTTGAAGACACTTCATTCCTTCACCCGGAACATCGTCAAGGCGAGACGAAAGCTGTACGAGCAACAAAAGCAGCAAGGCGGTGCAGGGAGTGACGACGAGCAACATCTTGGTATCTATGACATGTTCTTAGTAATAAATAAAACAGCTGAAGATATGAATCCAAATGTACTCCTCGTAACCTTTTTTTGTTTTTTAATGGGGGAAGGGGGCTAGATCTTAGGCCTTTTGCGTACCCATTTGTTCACAGGATGGATACGGGGTGCACAATAAACTTGCCGCTTCAGCGGGGAAATCTAAATCTAAATACGACTTTGATATTGAGTTTAGATATTCTCTCTTGGCTGCCGTTAGAGAGAACTCAAAGTACAGAAGTCATCCGGCTGCTTGTGTTGACTGTTTGTATTATTTCGTGATCTAGTGCGCCTGCATTTTTAATATATTGCTTTGTTATGTTTTAAAATTATTGCAATGATTGTATTTTGCTCTGTCATTTTATAGGTAGATAATACAAAAAAAGTATTATCAAGTATGAGCAAGAAAATGAGTAGGAGAAAGAGAGAGAGAGAGAGAGAGAGAGAGAGAGAGAGAGAGAGAGAGAGAGAGTAAACCAAAGTGTGGCTGATAGTATTTCACTTCAGGTAAGAAACAACGGTTGGCTTTCTTGGATCTGCTGCTGGAGTACTCTGAAGGAGGTACAGTTCTCACCGACGAGGACATTCGTGAGGAGGTGGACCTCTTCGTGTTCGCCGGCCACGACACCACCACCGTAGCTATTAACTGGTGCCTCTACGTCCTTGGTCGTCACCCAGAGATACAGGTGAATACTGAAGGTACCTTATCGTTAGTCGTGAATACTCCAAGAACTCTGAGTGTGTCATCTCCAAATGTTAACCAGAATTAGTTTTCTGCCATGATAAATCCTTCCTGCGTCCTCCTGTGGTCAAGCTCTCTTGGGGCAAACACCACAGGAACTTTCTTTGTGATTATTCAATTTTAATAATTTAAGAGCAGCCTTGAACCTTTCTTACATATTCAGAAAATCAGTCCAAAAACTGTACCCATACACAATATGCTTTATCAATACGACCAAGACATCGTTCTCGCAGACTTTAACCACAGCAATCATTGATTTTTTTTAATCCTCTCTATAATTGTCTCTCCCTCCAGGCTCGAGTTCATGCAGAACTGGATAGCATCTTCGAAGGAACAGACCGACCAGCCACCATGGATGACATCCGTCAGATGAAATACACTGAGAACTGCATCAAGGAAGCTCTCAGACTCTTCCCGTCTGTTCCTTACGTCGGCAGACAACTCAGTGAAGATATAAACATTGGTAAGAGATGATGCTGTATACTCTCAACTTCACTATATATTTTTGCAAATTAATACTCTCTCTCTCTCTCTCTCTCTCTCTCTCTCTCTCTCTCTCTCTCTCTCTCTCTCTCTCTCTCTCTCTCTCTCTCTCTCTCTTTCTCTCTCCCAGGGAGAAAGAGTATAATTGATGGCAAATTGACATGATAAAAGTGTGTTCCAAGTGATCTGATGAAGTCCTTAATAGATTAATCAAGTGGCTTAACATCTTTATTGGTTGAAAACACAAACATTCCTCATCCAGGCATGAAGATTAGTTGCTTCTGTTTGTTACTTAGTTGAAATGATTTGGCCGACTAGAGATTTAGAAGGCAAAGGTTGATATAGGAAGCTCTCGTAGCTCTGTACCAGTCCGGACTCGTACAGGAACAAGATAGTAATGTATATTGATCTTTCTTCATGATCCATCAGGGAAGTATCGCATCCCCGCCGGTGCCTCAGTCATGGTGTTCACCTATGCCCTACACCGTGACCCTGAGCAGTTCCCTGACCCTGAGGTTTTTGACCCTGACCGCTTTCTGCCGGAGAACGCCAGCAAGCGACACCCCTTTGCCTACAACGCCTTCAGCGCCGGACCCAGGAACTGCATCGGTTTGTGGGACTTGATTTCATGTGACATTATATTACAGCAAAATTATTTTTCGTTGTTTATTGCATTTTTCATTACGCAAGGTGATCTTTGGGAAGGATCACTAAAAAAAGGCTCTACTGACCGGAAACAATGTAAGGGAAAATTCGTTGATGGAAGGAGAGACAACATGCGGGAAATGAGACTTCACTGACAAGGTGCACCTACCAGTTGGGTTTCAATAACAGAGCGAAATGACTGACCAAAGGATCTCATGCACTGCTTTGTGTCTGTTGCATCAAATTGGTATTTTATAACATCTTTTCCAAAAAACTGAGTTTAAAATTTTTTGGGGAAGTCACCACAATGACAACTCTACGAAAAGGGGACTACGGCCGCTAGGGGCCCTGATTCTGAGGGGCTCGACTACTGAGGGGCCCTTACTAAAAGGGCCTCTGGTCTTTTAAATATTCTAACACTGGGCTTGCATAAGAAACAGACAGAGCTTAAACCGAATTTACCTTCGATGTCCCCCCTAGGAAAGGTGTACAGGAAATTTTTTCCCCAGGCGCTGTATACCCTGTAGGTTTGGTGTTTCTCTTTTAAATAAAATCAAAAAACAACAGGAACCTCAGTAAAAGGAAAAACATCCGTTTTGTTGTTCATGCCATTATCAAAGTTCCCTTTATGAGTTCTCCGGTTTTCCATCATCTACAAATCTTTTGCAAACAATTATTTTCCTATAGCACTATTTTCGAAACAATAGTTTGGCTAGCGCTTTTTTGGGTTAAAAATTTGTATTCCCCTTTTTGGGATATTAAGTTTTAGTTTTCCCTTTAAATGTACTTCAGTCATACTTCCTTCATTCTAGTCCTTCATGTTTAGGTCTCTCATCCATTTCATATGAAAGTTTTCTTTTTTCAGTAAATTTTGCATCCACTGCATTTTTTTTTCAGTCCCTTTACATCCATTCTGGGTGACAAGAACAAGCCGCATAACTTAAAAGATCTACTAAAAATGGACATAGCTGTAGAATAACGACCTTAGATTTTACTCATGCTCCATGAAACCAGTTGAGATAGGCTTATTACACATGTTTAGCACTGTTGTCTGTTTTTGGGTTTTCCCTGTTTTCAAGATTTAAAGCCTACCTCGCACTCTGTATGACAAACGCTGTGTAACCTGGTTTATGAGTGTGTCAGTGGGCCTGTATACCTTGTCATGACTTGTAAAATAAATATTATTATTTTTTTATTATTATTATTATTTTATTATTATATTATTTTTATTTATTATTATTATTTTTATTTTTAAATTTTAACAACTGCAGAAAAAATTAAGACCAGTGAACATTGGGTATCTTTTTTGTAAACGTTTGCCATCCAGTGGCTTTATAAAAAAAATTTCCAGGACAAAAACTTGAAGACAAAAAACATGATACGGTGTTTTTGCACCAACTCCAAGCTGGGGGTCTGGTTACCTCACTTCTTATATAGTTCTATTCTTCAAATTTTCCCCTGGAATTTGATTAAAAGCCCTGGATGGCGAAACGTCTACAACAGATACCCAGAGTTGAAACACGTGTTTTAATTCTATTGTCGGTATTGTATACCATCTGGTATAACGTAAGATGCCTGGTTCAGTGCTGAGTTTAAACCCTTTTTCGGTCTTCCAGGTCAGAAGTTCGGCATATAAAAAGAAAAGGGATGGTAAGCAGTGTGCTGCGCAATTTCCGTTGAGGTACACTCCAATGAAAAAACTTAAACCCTTAGCGAGATTGTCCTCAGACCCAAGAGGAAACCCACTCCGGTCTTTCCCGGGACAGCAGAGAGCCCGACCTCCCCGGGCAGCAACAGCGTGCAAGACAAAAAACACCAGGTGTCAGGGTGAAGGTTTTTTAAAAAGAAAAATCCTAAGGGCTTAAAACCCGGGCGCAAACTCAAGCTGACACGTCCCATCTTGTTTCACTAAGTTTATGCAAAGTACATACACATTCTGCAATGTTATTTTAAATTTTTTAGAAGCGTTTACCTTTTTTAAAAAATAACTCTGTAAAAAAACCTCTTTAGAAATGAGACATTTTTTTTTCCTAATTTTAATACAATGACTCATGCCAAATATGAGATTTAATTGTTTTATGAAAACAGGCCGACGACGAGGTCAAAATAGAGGTTTACAATAAAAAAACGCTTAGATAGGAACAAAAAAGGTGTGGGGTATTGTCTACAAAGAAATGACTTAGCTTACAACCCAAGACCTAATTAAATAACAAAAACTGGAGTTTCTTTTTTTTTGAAGTGCTGCTTCCTAAGCCCAAAAACCCTTTTAGAAAAACTAGTTCCCGCCCCCTCCCGGCCCAGTTCTTAAAAGATTTTTTCCAAAGTCTTGCCGGACTTGAAAAAATTTGCGAGAAAATAATACTGGGCGATTTCAATTCTGTTTTAGCAGAAAAATAACGGCTATGAAAAAGGGTATCAAAAATTTCTGGGATTAAATAGTTACACTAACTAATTAAACTCCAACCCGGATCACACAGTTCTCAGCCACCCCAACGTCGAAAGGGGGGGGGGGGCGGGGGGCCCCCCCGGGTGACACCTTTTAGGGGGTACACCATAGAGCAGGGTTTTTCCCAAACTTTTTCAGCTTTTTACCCAAATTTTTAACTGCCCAAAAACATGTTCCCCCCCTTTCAAAAAATTGTTTTATTATTGTATTATGGGTAAACGTAAAAATATACAGCCCCATACCCCAAATTCCTAAAAAACCCATTAAAAACGTAAAAACCCAAATACTTTTTTAAAAAAAAATTAATAATAGCTAAAAATTACAGTAACAGTGGGTAAATCTAACAAAAACTGCACAGGGCGTCCATACAACCAGCTTATGTCTCCCTCGGCTGATGCCACAGATAAACGACAGGTGAAATAGAGGCGCCTCAGGAAGGAGTGACGCGTACGGACGGTCGATCTGGGCACTGAGTGACTTTTGTCCGAAGCTACTTTCAAAATCTTTTGGGTTTCCACACATTTAGCTATTTTTTCTTCTTTTCAAATAGTAAATTAGTTTTTGTGTTTTTTGTTATTTGGTTAAAAAAAACTTTTTTTACTTACTTAAATAGGTTTACTTTACAACTTATATACTAAACAAAGTTAACAAAATCCCAACCGGTACCGCATTGTTTTCTTGATTTTCAAAAATTCATAACTTTTTTCTGTCCCCCCTCCATTACCCCCCAAAAAGGGTTAAAGTTACCCCCAGGGGGTAATTTACCCCATTTTGGGAACCATGCCATAGACCCCTCTAAAGAAGGTAAACTAATGCCCAAAACCATGCTGAGTAACCAAGAGAAAATTTTTCTTCGTTTCTAAAAGGGATTACAAACAAATAGGCCTATAAGGGAAAATCTTTGATTTTGATAGTGATAGATAAAATTTTGAGGATTGGGGAAAAATATCGATTCTTTGAGATGTTACCTGTACTTAAGGTAATCGGAACTAGTTTTTTTCTTTATTTTTTCAAGTTTTTTTTTTTATTGTTGAAAAGAATAAAGTAGGATGTGTTTGGTGGTCATGCAGCAGGATTAACTGGTCAGCACATGATGAACTGGCATGCAGCAGTGATGTAATGGTCATCGCAGTGATGTAAATGGGGATGCAGCAGTGATTAATGGTCATGAGCAGGATGAAAAGGGGCAGCGAGTGATGTAACGGCAGAGCGTGAGAACTGCATGCAGCAGGTGTAAAGGCATGCAGCAGTGAGTAATGGTCAGCAGCAGTGATGAACTGGTCAGCAGCGTGATGTAACTGGTCAGCAGCGTGATGTAACTGGTCAAACAAGTGATGTAACGGTCTACACAGTGATTAACTGCTCATCAGCATGATTAACTGCTCATGCAGCATGTTAACGGTCATCAGAGTGATGTAACTGCCCGCAGCAGTGATGTACTGGGCATGCACAGTGATGTAAAAAGGTCATGCGCAGGAGTAAAAGGTCATGCAGCAGTGATGTAAATGTCCCGCACAGTGATGTAACTGGTCATGCGCAGTGATGTAAATGGTCATGCAGCAGTGATGTAATGGTCTGCAGCAGTGATGTAACTGGTCATGCACATGATTTTAAATGGGCATGCAGCAGTGATGTAAATGGTCAGCAGCAGTGATTAACTGGGCATGCAGCAGTGATGTAACTGGGCAGCAGCAGTGATGTAAATGGGGCATGCAGCATGATGTAACTGGGGTGCAGCAGTGATGTAACGGGCATGCACAGTGATGTAAGGTCATGCAAAGGGGTGTAAGGTATGCAGCAGTGATGTAACTGGTCATGCGGTGATTAACTGGTCAGCAGCGTGATGTAACTGGTCATGCAGCAGGATTAACTGGTCGCAGCATGTGTCCTGGCATGCAGCAGTGATGAAAATGGTCATGCAGCAGTGATGTAATGGGCAGCAGCATTGGAATGTAACGGTCACGCTGAATAAATGGGCAGCACTTTATGTCCTGGTCATGCAGCATGATGCACTGGTATGCGCAGTGTTAATGGTCATGCACCGTGATGTAACTGGGCATGCAGCAGGATGTAACTGGTCATGCAGCAAATGATGTCACGGGCATGCAGCATGTGCACTGGCCATGCACATGTGTAACTGGGGCATGCAGCAGTGAGTCACTGGTCATGCAAAAGTGATGTCACGGATGAGATGATGAACTGGGCATGCGCAGTGATGTATGGTCATGCAGCAGTGATTAAAAGGGCATGCGCAGTGATGTAAATCTCATGCAGCAGTGATTTTAACCCATGCAGCATGATGTAACTGGTCTGCAGCAGGATGTAACTGCTCAGCAGCAGGATGTAACTGCTCATGCAGCAGTGATGAACTGGTCAGCAGCAGTGATGTAACTGTCATCAGCAGTGATGTAATGCTATGCAGCAGTGATTAACGGGCTCAGCAGTGATGTAACTGCTCATGCAGCGTGATGTAAATCTCAGAAGCAGTGATGTAATGGTCATGCAGCAGTGATGTAACGCTA